ACGACCGTCGCCGTCAGGCCCTGGAAAGCTACCTTAGCGCCCTGCAGTCTGACCAGCCTCGGGTATTCACACCCAACCATAGTCCTGAACTACAAACAAAATGGAATAAGTTGCACAAATGTGTTTACAGTAGTAATTTGTATCATTTGTTTGCCACAGTGTCTCTCATCTACTAATCTAATATCTGTGTTATGGATAACTGCTAACCAAGAAAAACCTGATTTGCCCATCCCGTACAGCCTCGGCAGGTCCTCAGTCTGTTGAAGAAGTACATACGAGCGGAGCAGAAGGACAGGCAGCACACTCTCAAACACTTTGAGCATGTGCGAGAGGTGGATCCCAAGAAGGCATCTCAGATTCGGCCATTTGTAAGATTGTCAAGCTGTTCTTTCCTACTTCAGACATAAAATGTGTAGACACTTCAAACTTCATTTTGACTGCTTGTGCCTGTAGGTGATGACCCATCTGCGTGTGATTGAAGAGCGCATGAACCAGTCCTTGGGGTACCTCTACAAGTTGCCAGAAGTGGCTAATGAAATCCAGGACCAAGTCGGTGAGTGTGAGGTGGCTCTTTTAGCACTAAATCACTCACATATCATTTAGGAGAATGTGTTTTTTTTTAACTGGGTTCCACTGATTTGGGAGAATTTAAAACCTCATTTTAAAAATAAGAAATAAAAAATGCACATAATTAAAATAATAATAATCTCTGTTTATCTCTCTTACCTACAACACACATGCACTACTATTCAAAAGTTTGGGGTCAGAAAGATGTTTTAATATTTTTTCATAAGTCTCTTATGCTCATACAGTAAACACAGACATATTGTGGAAAAAAATATTACCATTTAAAAGGTTTTCTATTTTAGTACATTGTAAAATTTAGTTTATTCCTGTGATGTCAGAGCTTAATTTTTCAGCAACCAGTCTTCAGTGTCACATGATCATTCAGAAATAATTTTAAAATGCTGATTATGTGCTCAAGAACCATTATTATTATTAGTGTTAAAAACTGTTGTGCTGCTTAATACTTTTGATTAATTTAATGCCTCCTTGCTAAATTAAAATATTTATTTCAAAAAGAAAAGACAAACTTAGTGACACTTTTGAACGGTAGTGAATGCTTCGAAATTATATTAATTATGAAACATAATGTATTTCATCTTATATTCAAATCTGCCATTAAAAATGTTGAAAAGCCCTGATTAAGGACTCTCATCCTTTCTTTCTCCAGCATTGCTGATTCAGCGTGATCAGGCTGAAGTCACCCAACAGTTGTCGTCTCTCCAGAGTAAGATGAGGGTGAGCTATGGGAACGACGCCCTGATGCCCGACCTGCCTGACAGCACCACCCCCCTGGACACTCTGCAACCAGAGCAGGACGGCCTGGGCTTCATCCACCCCGAAAGCTTCAACCAGGCCAACACTGACAACCACGGTAAACATTTGCACACTGAATGCTGTAACTGAACTGCAAACTTTTAAAAGGCCCATTTTTATGATCAACATAAACCGATATTAAGTAACCAATAATATACAGTACAACTATACACTACATTTGCATTACATTTAGAAGAGTCTGAACAGCTTTTTGTGTCTTGTTCAGTTGAACCTGTAGATGTCCGTCCAATTCCAGATAAGGGTCTGCCTACGAGACCCGGTAAGTGTGTACATGTTATTTTCAGCCATTGCTTTGTTTAATATCATATATCTAATCATTATGTTCCTATGTGTGGTTGTTTGTAGAGATTCCAAAGGTTCGTCTGGACATTGAGGAAAGGCACAACGCTGGTTATGATGTTCGTGACAAGAGACTGGTACAACAATTTACACAAATATTTTGATAATAATACAAACCCGATTCCAAAAAAGTTGGGACACTGTACAAATTGTGAATAAAAACAGAATGCAATGATGTGGAAGTTTCAAATTTCAATATTTTATTCAGAATACAACATAGATGACATATCAAATGTTTAAACCGAGAAAATGTATCATTTTAAGGGAAAAATAAGTTGATTTTAAATGTCATGGCATCAACTCATCTCAAAAGTTGGGACAAGCCCATGTTTACCACTGTGTGGCATCCCCTCTTCTTTTTATAACAGTCTGCAAACGTCTGGGGACTGAGGAGACAAGTTGCTCAGATAAAATACAATATATGTATCTCGTATTTTACAAAGTAATAAATGTGTTTGTGTTCAGATGTTCCTTGCAGAAGACATGGGCTCTAATAAGGGGGCAATCATTGGGCTGATGGTGGGTGGAGTTGTCATCGCTACTGTCATCGTAATCACTCTTGTTATGTTAAGGAAGAAGCAGTACACTTCCATTCACCATGGAGTTATTGAGGTGAGACACAACATGTTGTAAACATATGAAGACTCTTAAGTCCGTCTGAGAATTTTCTTTCAATCAGCTTTTTTTTATCAGGCTCCTATGAAAATATCATTGGACATTTCTGAAAATAAGGCATTCAGTAACTGACTAATAACATTTTCTTTGCTATTAAAGTACTGAACTAATACGTAGGAGACTGATAAAAAGGCTAATTTAAAAGAAAAATCTCGGAAAGATCTCAGACGGACTTGAGAGATTTTTGCATTTGAAGTCTTATATATTTCTATCGCCTTTTTTTTTTTATTTGTAGACTGGGAAATGTCTTGAGTAATAAAAAAATATTACTGGTACATTATATTAAAAGTATTAAAAGAAATGTCTGCTGCAGGCTCTAAAACATTTCATCAGAAAGAAATCACTCTTTCAACTAGAAAGTGCAGCCTTTTTAAAATGATTTAAAAATCATTACCCGTATGTAAAAATAATCTACATTTTCAAATATATTTTTTGTACAAAAAATGGCCAAAGAATATATAAAAAATATGTCAATATATTTACATGAATATATCATGTAATATATAAATATATTCACTACCAATATATTTTTGGCCATTTAAAATATATAAATATATTTTTAAAGCATTTAAAAAGTATATTTTGACCTCCATATATTTCAATCCATGGAAGTACATTCATATATCATGTTTGAAAAAAATATATATATTTGTTGTCTATAACGTGAATAAAAATCAACATAGTTTACATTGCTTCAAAAAAATACAATATTACTGTATATATAAAAATAAAAAATAAATCTGGTTTTGATCTCTAGTAGGTTATTCCATCCACATTTGCATTTAGCTTAAATGTAGGCTACTCTAAGATTGGAAATGTCATTTCAGAAATGTATTTCATAGAACATATATATAGCATATATTTAAAATATATTTTGGCCAGAAAATATATATTTATTTGTCGTATGGGTATCCACCATCATGAAGGTCTGGAAAAATGTCATAGAAATTCATCAGTAAAAAGGTATAAAACTATTAAAAATCAGTTTCACGTATTGAAATAAAGCTGAAATAAAATATAATTATTAGATGAAAACTTTTTTATTTCAGTTAGGCAACATTTTTAGTTTTTAAATACTAAAATTACTCAATCAAAACCTGAAATAAAAAATAAAAGCTAAATGGAAAATGGAAAAAAAAGCACACAATTTATGAAACTTTTAACATTTAAATAAAAACGAAAAATATAAAAGTAATGGGTCAAAATAATAAATATTAATAGTATATAAATAAACACTGCTGGGAATCTTAGTCTAAGTCTGAGCAAACACTTTTAATGACAACCTAATTTCTTCTGTCTCAGGTGGATGCAGCAGTGACTCCTGAGGAACGTCATCTCACTAAGATGCAGCAGAACGGCTATGAGAACCCCACCTACAAGTTCTTCGAGCAAATGCAGAACTAAAGAACCACTTCAGATCCCAGCACTCCCCCTCACCACCAACCATCACCCCACTCTATCAGGACAGAGAATGCAGACTGATCCCTCATTCACACTATCGCTCAGCTCTGTCACCATGGAGATGAGAGTGGCTTCCATCACCTGACCATTTCATCCAATCGAATGAGCGCTCACTCAGTTTGCACAGAAGAGTGATGTGTCATTGCTGCCCATCCAGCCATCTGTCAGTACGTTGGTCCATCTGTGCGCTCCCATGCCTGTCCATCACAGCACTGTGGTGAATGAAGCGTTCTCTTTGCCCATGCTTTCCTTCTAACCCAAGATCCTCTAAACCATCTTTATTTTTCTCTCTCTCTCTCTCTACTCTCTCTCAACCATTATGTTCCCCTCCAGAACTTCCTTAAGCACTTACGTCACCTTCTCTTTTGTTTGCACGTTTCCTTCCTCCTTCCTTTTTCCTGAGCACACAGATGATGCGGTGCTGTTTGGCTACATGAGGCTCCAACCACAAACAACCACATGCCGAATAATGTACTCATTGTTTAACTTTTCATTCAGGGTTTTTTTGTTTTTATCTGGAAAAAAAATCACAAAAAAAATAAATAAATATATATATATATATATATATATATATATATATA